CATAATAAAATACTACTCATATAATATAGTATTATTTTAAAGTCTTAATTTTTTTAGTTTTTGGCATACTAAAAATGTATATAAAAACATTCAAAAAATAAAATCAATTTAATTATATCCTACCTCTAAATTATACATTGTCTCAGATTATACATTTATTTGACTGTTAAATAAAAAAAAAATGGTAAACAAATAATAATAAAAATACTGGCGAAATTCTTAAAGGAGGTTGGTACCAGAAACCCGCAGCTCTGTTAATAGCAAAAAATAACACAAGCTTTGGGTCCCTCATACCACCCACCCTATTATAAATAATATATATATCCAAACCTATATAAAATATAGTATTATTATAAATTTTTGATTTTCTCAGTTTGTGGCATAATAAAAAATGTATATAAAACATTCAAACTGTTAAATAAAGTTAATTATACCCTACCTCTAAATTATACATTGTCTCTAAGTATACATCTATTTGACTGTTAAATAAAATTTTAAAAAATTGATAAGCGAATAATGGCAATAATACTGAAAAAGTTCTTAGAGGAGGTTAGTAACAGTCACCGACAGCAAAATTATTTATTATTTGTTAACGAATTATTGTCGGGGAGGGGGGTATCTCGCCCCTTTAATAGCGAACGTCCACTTCGTCCTCACTCTCCCGAAATCTACGCCCGTGTCGTTCACAGAGAATGGACAGAATAAAAGAAGGTCTTATTTGGACTTTCTACTGGAAGTTATTTCACACACATTGCTAGAGTATGGATTCGTAAAATAAACCTCCATCCTAACAAAAATCAATGTTTCTTTAAATGGAACGTTCTTACACCATTTTTTTTTTAACTAGAGAGAAAAATCTATTAATAAAGACTAATCTAAACTAACCTAAGAAAATCTTAACCAGAGGATTAAGAGTACATATAAAATATATATTTCATAATATTTGGGCTTAACTATCATTTAGCATAATATTCTCTACATTTACATGTCTACTTTTACGTTTAAAAAAAAACGGAGTTTCTGCATGAGGTTGATGATAGTAACCTTTGGTCATGTTATTACCAAAACAAAACATGATCCTTGGGTCACTATCACCACCCTTCTCATCTGAACGATGTCTAGTCTTGAATCAAAGAATCCTTCCACCAGGAATCATACTTCCAAGAAGATTCCATCTGCTTCTTACAGGAGGTTGGTATGAGTCACCCGCAAATCTGTTAATAGCTAAAAACTAAAAGAAGCTTTGGGTTACTCAATTACAAAGTTTATATGTTGAATATAATGATATTTGTAATGATTATCATCTAAATTAATTATGGAACTTTGTTTTGAACACTAATCTTTGTTATAGAATTTAATCTGTATTTGTAAGTTACAAAATAAATCCTACTAACGTTTGCATGTAAATAATTTTAAAAAATAGAAATTTTATTTATTTTTAAAGTTTTACAAACAATAAAGGTCTGCTCTGCAAAATTTTTATTTTAAATAACACCCATTACTGCTATTAGTTGATCAACTTCCGCCCAACGCTTTTTTTGAGAAGACTGGTTGATCCCGAAGGTTTCACAGAAAGTGGTTGACACAACAACCATGTCTAGTTGAAAGCATAAACAACCTAGACATGGCTGATGCAAAAACCACAAATTTCTGAATATGTGAGTTATTCATTGATGATATATTTAATAACTTTGTAGTTACAAAGTTAAAAATTCAGAAATAAAAATGACTTCCTAAAAAAGTCACTTGAGAAGAATCGAAGATTTAGCAGGTGTATAGAAAGTGGATGACACGGCCATCATGACAGGTTGATAAAATAAAAACAACCTTATCATGAAGGCCGATAAAACCACAAATTTCTGTATATGTACTCTATGGATTGCTGAAAAATTTAAAAACACAACAGGTTTGAACCAGGTTTGTCCCTCCACCTATCTGTCTATTTGAATTCTCATAATTTATCACTATTGCCCTTTAATAAATCCAAGTATTTAATAGTGGTAATAAATATTTCTTCATCAAAATCCTATTTTTTAAAAACACACTTTTATGCTAGTATTTGACCACAACCAAAATATTACTTCACTTGAGAAGATTTGAAGATCTAGCAGGTGTACAAAAAGTGGTTGACACGGCCATCATGACAGGTTGATAAAATAAACACAACCTTATCATGAAGGCCGATAAACCACGAATTTCTGTATATGTACTCGAGGGATTGCTGAAAAATTGAAAAACTACTACAAGTTACAGTTAGTTAAAGTTTTTAAAGCAGACATTCGAATCCAGCTTCTCAACATTGTCTCAACTTATACATTTATTTGACTGTTAAATAAAAATAAAAAATGCTAAACAAATGATAACAAAAATACTGGCGAAGTTCCGTGCAGGAGGTTGGTACCAGACACCCGCAGCTCTGTTAATAGCAAAAGATAACAGAAGCTTTGGGTCAACAATACCGCTCTCCCTATTATAAATAATATATATTAATACTTAAATTTTATTTTAATACTACCTACATAAAATATAGTATTATTTACAAGTATTAAATTTTTCAATTTTTGGCATAATTGAAAAAGTATATAAAAGAAATTAAAATTTTAAATAAATTTAATTATATCCTACATCTTAATTATACATTGTCTCAAATAATACATCTATTTGACTGTTAAATAAAAAAATTTGGTAAACAAATAATAATAAAAATGCTGGCGAAGTATTTGCAGGAGGTTGCAACCAGACACCCGCAGCTCTGTTAATAGCAAAAGACAGCAGAAGTTTTGGTCCCAAATACCGCCCACCCTAATATAAATAATATATATCCATCCTTGAATACTACTTATATAAAATATAGTATTATTATAAATTTTTGATTTTTTCAGTTTTTGGCATAATAAAAAATGTATATAATACATTCAAAATGTTAAATAAAGTTAATTATATCCTTCTTCTAAATTATACATTGTCTCAGATTACACATCTGTTTGACTATTAAATAAAAAAAATAATAAACAAACAATAATAAGAATACTTGCCAAGTTTTTACAGGAGGTTGGTAACAGTCAGCTATAGCTCCATACTCAAATTTTATTTTATTTAATACCTATATAAAATATAGTATTATTTACAAGCGTTGAATTTTTCAGTTTTTAGCATAATAAAAATGTATATAAAAAAATTCAAAATATTAAATAAATTCAATTATATCCTACCTCTAAATTATACATTGTCTCAAATTATACATCTATTTTAATGTTAAATAAAAACTACTAAACAAATGATAATAAGAATACTGGCGAAGTTCTTACAGGAGGTTGGTACCAGTCACCCGCAGCTCCGTTAATAGCAAAAGATAACAGATGCTTTGGGTTCCTGACACCACTCTCTCTATTATAAATAATATTTATATCCATAGTTAAATACTACTTATATAATATAGTATTATTTTAAAGTCTTAAAGTTTTCAGTTTTTGGCGTAATAAAAAATGTATATAAAAACATTTAAAATATTAAATAAAGTTAATTACATCCTACCTCTTAATTATAAAATACATATAAAATACATGTAAATATAGTATTATTTTAAAATATAAAATCTATTAGGTTATAATACAAAACTAAAATAGTCTTTTTTCTAAAAAAGACGGAAATTAATAAAACATAATTTTAAAATTTATGTTTTTATCACCGCATCAGTCTTAGTGTTGCCCAAATGAGAGACCGAGACGAGTCGTGGTCTTAAAAACTCAGTCTTATTTATGGTCTTGGTCTTGAGCAAGAGTCTAGAAACAGTCTTGCAGTTACTTATAAGCTTATTACCATAGCGATATTACTGTGATTTTTTAGATATGAGAAACATAACTAGGCCCGAATGAAAAATTAGAGCAGTTAAATGCTAAAAGTATATAGGTTATACCAATCACTAACATATAGTAGCTAAGATTGTCAAGTATTAGTATCTATTTTGTCTTGACTTTTATTTTAAAAATCTATTTGTTTTACCAGTTCTGGTCTTGGTCTTGCAACAGATAGGCGGCCTTGGTCTTGGTCTTGGTCTTGCAAAGTGCAAGACCGATTTTGGACAGCACTAATCAGTCTAGAATATCAGCGACTATCATTCAGTAATCATTCACGAGCTTTGAAATTAAACAACTATAATCTTATGTAACTGTAAAAATTATTATTTCCCATGACAGTTGTGCTTCAATTTTTCTACGTAACAGGTATACATCCTGCTACTTGGAAAAACTGACAGTTAATATTGGTTGTTGCTAGAGCACAAGAACTCATATCAGAGCTCGGCCGAATAAAACAACCGTGATAAATACACATCTATTTGACCATCAAATAAAATAAAAACTGATAATAGTAATAATAGTAAGAATACTCGCCAAGCTCTTGCAGGAGGTTAGTAAGAGACACCCGCGGATCTGTTAATAGCAAAACATAACAGAAGCTTTGGGTCACTGTTACCACACTCCCTATTATAAAGAATATATATCCATACTTCTATAAAATATAGTATTATTTATAAGATTTAAATTTTTGGGTTTTTGGCATAACCAAAAAATGTATATAAAAAATTCAAAATATTAAATAAATTGTATTATATTCAACCTCTAAATTATAAAGTGTCTCAATATCTGTGTTTTGTAGGAATTTCCAGTACAGTAATAATTACAATATATTATTTTTACTTCCTATATTACATACAACATTACAGCAAACAATAAATCATAAAATAATCTAAATCCATACTTAAATTCTATTATAATTAATTATTAACTAACATAATAGCTCGTAGCTCGTCACTAAAAATAGATGGGTGGAAGAAGGAATGATTTCCATGAATGATCTATAACAACAGATTGAGAGATTCAATAGCTATAACATGATGTCGTTTATCTCCACAATTTAATAAAAAAAAACAATTTAAATTCATTTAAAAACTAAAGTTTAGACTTAATTAACATGTTTAAAACAGACATACATACCCAGTTTCAAAATACACATAATTTCTTGGTGTTTTCGAACTGCAGATGAAGAGGAAGGTTGATTGTCGCAAAGTAATCGAGTACATAGTGCAAGGTAAGCAAACTACATATGCTTAACTCACAAAATGTACTCGACCCCAATCCAACTTAATGCTTTCTATCTCTGTCCATTTAGTCCGGCGTATGTGGAATTCATGATGTCATATTCATTAGATAATAAAAAATTAAATAATATTAAAACTAACATAATTAAATAAATTTAATGATATTCTACCTCTAAATTATACATTGCATTAAATTATACATCTATTTGACTGTTACATAAAAAATTAAAAAAATGATAAACAGATAATAATAACAATACTGGCGAAGATCTTGCATGAGGTTGATGATAGTAACCTTTGGTCCTGTTATTACAAAAACAAAACATGATCCTCGGGTTACTAACACCACTCTTCTCATCTGAACAATGTCTAGTCGGGAAACAAGGAATCCTTCCATCTTACTGCCAAGAAGATTCCATCTGCTTCTTACAGGAGGTTGGTATGAGTCACCCGCAGCTCTGATAATAGCTAGAAATAACAGAAGCTTTGGGTCACTCTTACCACTCTAACTATCATAATAGCTCGTAGCTCTTCACTAAGAATAGATGGGTGGAAAAAAGAATGATTTCCAAGAATAATATATAGAAACAGTTTGAGTGATTCAATAACTATAAAATGATGTCGTTCATCTTCACCTGTTGATTAAAAAACAAAAAACTAAATTCATTTAAAAACTAGAGTTTAGACTTAATTAACATGTTAAAAGTAGCCATACATACATAGTTTCACAATCCACATAATTTCTTGGTGTTTCCGAACTGAGGATGAAGAGAAGGGTTAATTTTTGGAAAGGAATCGAGTACATAATGCGAGGTAAGCACACGACAAATGCTTAACTGGCAAAATGTACTCGACCCCAATCCAACTTGATGCTTTCTATCGCTGTGCATTTCGTCCGGCGTATGTGGAATCCATGATTTCATATTCATTAGATAATAAAAAATTAAATAATATTAAAACTAACATAATTGCTCGCAGCTCTTCTCTAAAAATACATATATTGGCAAAAAGAATGATTTCGATAAATGATCTACAGCAACAGATTGAGAGATTCAATAACTATAACATAATGCTGTTTATCTCCACAATTTAATAAAAAAAAACAATTTAAATTCATTTAAAAACTAAAGTTTAGACTTAATTAACATGTTTAAAACAGACATACATACCCAGTTTCAAAATACACATAATTTATTGGTGTTTTCGAACTGCAGATGAAGAGGAGTGTTGATTGTCGGAAAGTAATCGAGTACATAATGCGAGGTAAGCACACTACATATGCTTAACTGGCAAAATGTACTCGATCCCAATCCAACTTGATTCTTTATATCTCTGCCTATATCGTCCGGTATATGTGGAATTCATGTCATATTCATTAGATAATAAAAAATTAAATAATATTAAAACTAACATAATTGCTCGCAGCTCTTCTCTAAAAATACATATATTGGCAAAAAGAATGATTTCGATAAATGATCTACAGCAACAGATTGAGAGATTCAAGAAATATAACACAATGTGGTTTATCTCCGCATGCTGATAAAAAACAAAAAATTAAATTCATTTAAAAACTAAAGTTTAGACCTAATTAACATGTTTAAAACAGACATACATACCCAGTTTCAAAATACACATAATTTCTTGGTGTTTTCGAACTGCAGATGAAGAGGAAGGTTGATTGTCGGAAAGTAATCGAGTACATAGTGCAAGGTAAGCAAACTACATATGCTTAACTCACAAAATGTACTCGACCCCAATCCAACTTGATGCTTTCTATCTCTGTCCATTTCGTCCGGCGTATGTGGAATCCATGATTTCATATTCATTAGACATTATAAAATTAAATTATATTAAAACTAACATAATTAAATAAATTTAATGATATTCTACCTCTAAATTATACATTGCATTAAATTATACATCTATTTGACTGTTACATAAAAAATTAAAAAAATGATAAACAGATAATAATAACAATACTGGCGAAGATCTTGCATGACGTTGATGATAGTAACCTTTGGTCCTGTTATTACCAAAACAAAACATGATCCTCGGGTTACTAACACCACTCTTCTCATCTGAACGATGTCTAGTCGGGAAACAAGGAATCCTTCCATCTTACTGCCAAGAAGATTCCATCTGCTTCTTACAGGAGGTTGGTATGAGTCACCCGCAGCTCTGTTAATAGCTAGAAATAACAGAAGCTTTGGGTCACTCTGACCACTCTCCCTATTGTAAATAGTATATATCCATAATTAAATACTACCTATATAAAATATTGCATTATTTATAAGTTTTGAATTTTTCGAGTTTTGGCATAATTAAAAATGTATTTAAAAAATAATTCAAATTTTAAATGAAGTTAATTACATTCTAACTCTAAATTATACATGTATTTGACTACTAAATAAAATTTCAAAAACAACACTGATAAACGAATTATAGAAATAATACTGGCGAAGTTCTTGCAGGAGGTTGGTACCAGACACAGTTCATAGCAAAAGATAGCAGAAGCTTTGGGTTCCTGATACCAATCTCACTATTACTTTATAAACCTATTTCAGTTTTTTGCATGATTAAGAATGTATATAAAAACAATCAAAATATTAAATAAAGTTAATTATATCTAACTCTAAATTATACATTGTCTCAAATTATAAATCTATTTCACTATTAAATAAAATTAAAAACTAATTAAATTAAAAAAAAAAAAATCGTTAAATAAACCTCCATCCTCAGAAAAATCAATGTTTCTTTAAATAGAACGTTTTTACACGATTGACTATTAACAACAATCTATGTTGATGCAATATAAATTTAAATATCCTTGTTCTATCGGAATTTCCAATACTATAATTAATGGAATATATTACTGTTATTTGATATATTACTTATAACATTACAGCTAACAACAAATCATATCTATTATAATTTATCATTTTTTGTATTTCAATTTCCGTACTTAACAGATATAAAATCTGATAAATTTAGTAAATTGAAATTTGTTATTGGTTGTTTATATAGGTATAAGCTACTCAAGGTACACCTGATTATCACAACCGTATTTTTATTCTAACAACAGCTTAATATTAAGGTCTTCTTTTAATAATACTCTATATAAAATTTAATATTGTTAATGCTAAAATTAAAATAATAATATTAATCTTGTATCTGAATATTAAAATAATATAATCTATTATAAATAATATATATTCATACTTAAATACTAAATATATTAAATATACTATTATTTTAAAGTCTTGAATTTTTCAAATGTTGGCTTGATTAAACATGTATATAAAAAAAATTAAAATATTAAATAAACGTAATTATATCCCACCTCTAAAATATACATTGTTACAAATTCTAAATCTATTTGACTGTTAAATAACAAAAAAGAAAAGATACACAAATAATAAAAAGAATACTGGGGAAGTTCTTGCAGGAGGTTGGTACCAGACACCCACAGATCTGTTAATAGCTAACTATAAAGAAGTTTTGGGTCCCAAATGCCACTCTCCCTATTGTAAATAATCTATATATCCTTAATAAAATACTACTCATATAATATAGTATTATTTTAAGTCTTAATTTTTTTAGTTTTTGGCATACTAAAAAATGTATATAAAAACATTCAAAATATTAAATAAATTTAATTATATCCTACCTCTAAATTATAAATTTTCTCAAATTATGCATTTATTTGACTGTTAAATAAAAAAAAAAAGGTAAACAGATAATAATAAAAATACTGGCGAAGTTCTTATAGGAGGTTGGTATCAGAAACCCGCAGCTCTGTTAATAGCAAAAAATAACAGAAGCTTTGGGTCCCTAATACCACCCACTCTATTATAAATAATATATATCCATACTTAAATAATACCTATATAAAATATAGTATTATTATAAATTTTTGATTTTCTCAGTTTTAGGCACTATAGAAAATGTATATAAAACATTCAAACTGTTAAATAAAGTTAATTATATCTTACCTCTAAATTATACATTGCCTCAAATTACACATCTATTTGACTATTAAATAAATTTTTAAAAAATTGATATACGAATAATGGCAATAATATTGAAAAAGTTCTTAGAGCAGGTTAGTAACAGTCACCGACAGCAAAATTATTTATTATTTGTTAACGAATTATTGTGAGGGAGGGGGTGTATCTCGCCCCCTTTAATAGCGAACCTCCACCTCGTCCTCACTCTCCCTAAATCTACGTCCGTGTCGTTCACAGAGAATGGACAGAATAAAAGAAGATCCTTATTCGGACTTTCTACTGGAAGTTATTTCACATACATTGCTAGAGGACGGATTCGTAAAATTAACCTTCTAACAAAAACATCCTTACAAAAATCAATGTTTCTTTAAATGAAACGTTCTTACACCAGAGGATTAAGAGTACATACAAAAAATACATATAAAATATATATTTCAGGATGGGCTTATCTATCATTTAACATAATATTCTCTACATTTACATGTCTACTTTTACATTAAAAAAAAAAAACGGAATTCTGCATGAGGTTGATGATAGTAACCTTTGGTCATGTTATTACCAAATTAAAACATGATCCTCGGGTCACTATCACCACCCTTCTCATCTAAACGATGTCTAGTCGGGAATCAAGGAATCCTTCCACCAGGAATCATACTTCCAAGAAGATTCCATCTGCTTCTTACAGGAGGTTGGTATGAGTCACCCGCAAATCTGTTAATAGCTAAAAACTTACAGAAGCTTTGGGTTACTCAATTTTTCAATTTTTGGCATAATTGAAAAAGTATAAAAAAAATTAAAATTTTAAATAAATTTAATTATATCCTACCTTTATATTATACATTGTATCAAATTATACACCTATGTGACTGTTAACTAAAAAGAAAATGGTAAACAAATAAAAATAAGAATACTGGCGAAGTTCTTACAGGAGGTTGGTAACAGTCACCCGCAGCTCTGTTAATAGCATAAGATACCAGAAACTTTGGGTTCTTTTTGACTCAATTAAGGACATTGAGTATTTAGGATGAATGAAACACAAACGTATCATATATACAATAAAAGAAAAACAAGATTATAACAAAATAAAACTTGGAATAACAGAATAAATCAAACATGAGACAACATTAGATTAAAAAAAAAACATATTCATACTTATTTACAAGTATTATTATATAAAATAGAAATATATAAATGTATACACATCCATACAAATTGGTGCTCGTAATGGGTGACAAACGAAAAATGAGCTCAACGCTTTTCTTGAGAAGACTGGTTGATCCCGAAGTTTCACAGAAAGTGGTTGACACAACAAACATGTCTAGTTGAAAGCATAAACAACCTAGACATGGCTGATGCAAAAACCACAAATTTCTGAATATGTGAGTTATTCATTGATGATACATTTAATAACTGCTACAAGTGTTGTAGTTCTAAAGTTAAAAAATCAGAAACAAAATAAACTTTCTAAAAAAGGAAAGAAAATCATTAACATTATATTACTGAATTTGACAATTTATACTATCAAATAATCACATGATGGAACGCAATTTAAAATATAATTCATTCCCTCTTAATAATTCTAAATTTATTATTCTGCTATTTATATGACAATGAATAAATGAGAAAGTCTATACATTTTTCTAGAAACATCATTAATTTTTCTATTTGAAATAGTTTTATTATTATAAAATAATTTTAATAAATAATCATTTTATAACTAAATAATAAACTAAATCTAATACATGTTTTATTTAAAAAAATATGATGTTAAAATTAAACTTCATCATCTAAAAAAAATATAAAGCATTGTTTTGGATCCAGGTCATTATTACAGAAATTCGTCTGTAATATTTATAGATGGCTAAAGAAATGTTCCTAAACCT